CAGTGAGTGATGTTTCTGGAAAAGCTCCAGAAGGAGAATGGTGATTGGAAGCCTTGGCTCTAAAGTTAGATTCTTGGATATGAGTTCCTGCTCCACCACTCCATCAATATGTAACTTTATAAAAAAGATTTATTTCTTTGGGGCTGGTGCTGTGAAGCAGTGGGTTAAAGCCCTGGCCTGCAGCACCAGCATCCCGTATGGGCACTGGTTCAAGTCCTGGCTGCTCCACTTCCATTCCAGCTCTCTGCTATGGCGTGGGAAAGCAGTACAAGTTGGCCCAACTCCTTGGGCCCCTGCACCTGTGTGGGAGACCTGGAAGAAGCTCCTGGCTCCTGGTTTTGGAGCAGCTCAGCTCTGGCAGTTGCAGTCATTTAGGGAGTAAAACAGCAGATGGAAGACCTCTCTCTCTATCTCTCTCTCTCTCTCTCTCTCTGGCTCCACCTAACTCCTTAAAATAAAAAATAAATAAACCTTTTTTAAAAAAAGATTTTTATTTCTTTGAGAGGGAAAATTACAGAGGGACGAGACAGTGGCCTGGGAGGGGTAGAAGAGAGAGAGAGCGAGCAAATGAGCTATCTTCCATCCACTGGTTCACTCCCCAAATGGCCACAATGGTCAGGGTTGGACCGGGTAGAAGCCAGGGGAAGCATCCGGGTCTCCCATGTGGTTGGCAGGGGCCCAGGCACTTATGCCATCTTCCACTGCTTTCCTAGCATGGTTTTTTTTTAAAGATTCATTTATTTATTTATTTGAAAGTCAGAGTTACACAGAGAGAAGAGAGGCAGAGAGAGAGAGACAGACAGACAGAGAGAGACAGAGAGGGAAAGGTCTTCCATCTGCTGGTTCACTCCCCAGATGGCTGCAAAAGCCAAGAGCCAGGAGCTTTCTCTGGGGCTCCCACACAAGTGCATCTTCTGCTTTCCCAGGCCATAGCAGAGAGTTGGATCAGAAGTCAAGCAGCATGGTCTCGAACCCATGCCATATGGGATGCTGGCACTTCAGGCCAGGGCGTTAATCTGCTGCACCACAGCGCCAGCCTGCCAGCATGGATTTGGATTGGAAGTGAAGCAGCTGAGACTCGAATCAGTGCCCATAAGGGATGCTGCCATTGCAGGCAGTGGCTCATCCTGCTACACTGCACTTCCCCAGATAGGTAACTTAAAGCAAGTTGCCTACTATTTCTAAACATCATTTCTCATTTGTTAGTGTAGCATCTGGCACGTTGTGACTGATAACCTTTGCTAAGTGCTTTATATTACTTTTACTATTATTATCACTACTAGTATTAAGTGATCTATGGTTAACTTGCAAGAGTACTAAACTCAGGACCAGAAGACTGAGGTTCCCACTCAACTGCATAATGATTCTGTGATGTATGAGATATTTACTCTAAGACTGAGTAGCCTTAAACTGTAAACTAACATTTTTATCTGAGGTAAGGCAGAGTTAAGGCAGAAGGCTGGATCATATATCTTGAGGTCTTTTTGACTCTAACGTCAGAAGTTCTACTCTCTCTGGTGCCAGTGCTGTGGCATAGCAGGTAAAGCTGCAGCTTGCAGTGCTGGCATCCCATATGGGCGCTGGTTCTAGTCCCAGCTGCTCCACTTCTGATCCAGCTCTCTGCTATGGCCTGGGAAAGCAGTAGAGGATGGCCCAGGTCCTTGGGCGTCTGCACCCACCTGGGAGATCACCTATGTTTGTCCAGCAACTACAAGAAACAGTGTGGAGAGTTCTTTTAAAACTAGAAATAGAACTGAGAACTGCCATATGATCTAGCAATCTCACTACTGGGTATATAGCCAAAAGACAAGAGATACCTGCCCCACCATGTTTCTCACAGCCTTGTTCACAATAGCTAACATAACCAAAGTGCCCATCACCAACCACAATGGAATACTATTCAGCTATGAAATGAAATGAAATCCTGTCGTTTGCAGCAAAATGGATGGAATTTGAGGACATCATGTTAAGTGAAACAAGTGAGACACAGGAAGACAAATATCACAGGTGGGGGCAGAAAACAAAGGTCCTCAATCTGAACACAGGATGCTGTCTACTAGAGGCTAGGAGGAGTGGGAGGGATACAGGGAGTTCAGATTAAGAAAAAAAAAGGAAGCTGGGTATAGTCCACTAACTGTGACATACATATTCATAGATGTTAATAATAAAGGTAGCCGGATGTGGAATATTGGGGAACTCCAGTATTTTGTAAATTTAAAGCAATTCTAACAAAGTTTAAAAAATGGAGAAAAACAATACAATCATTTCAATCAATGCAGGAGTGGATGACAAAATACTGCTCCCTTTTGATAAAAATGACAGCATACTAGGAATGCAAAGGAATGTTCTTATTCTCGTATCCATAAATTAAAGGTAGCATCCAATTAAATATAAAAATATTAAGTATTATCAGTTCCTTTCAAAATTGTACCAGCCTATGCCATACAGTTATAAGAAAAAGTTATAATTGGAAAAAATAAATTTAGATAACATGTTTCTGTATGCAAAAAAAATCAAAGACTATGCAAACAAGCTATTGGAAATAAATGGATTTTACAGGATTGCTGGGTACAGGGTAAATATAAAAAATCAGTTGTCTTCTATATGATAGTTACAAATGGAAAATCGTTTTAAAATAAATCTTACTTTTGTGATTTTTTTTGTAACTATTAGAAATCTTTGTCTCACTTCCTGAGAATATGCATATATTTTGTTGCAGAAAACAATATGTAATAATGGCAAATGGCATACAATATTTGGAATAAAAATGGCATTATTAAACGTCTTTCCCAAAATATCCGAGAGAGACTCTCCAGCTCTTTAATAGACCCTTTTACTTTTCTTTAAAATTTGCATATTGATTATTTCATTTTGGTGTCCGATATCCTCTGAATTATCATTAAAACAAAATGCTTAACAATTGTTCCATATAGATTAACATTTTTTCTTCCAATCATCAGACCTGAATTTATATTTCATTTAGGAGTTATCATGCACAAAGCAGAATGCAAAATAATCAGTCTCATTAGACATTGTGAACACATGACTTATGTTCTCAAAGAAATTGCTTTTATGGTCCAGTGTTGTGGCATAGTGGATAAAACTGCTGCCTGCAATGCTGGCATCCATGTGGGCTTCTGTTTGTGTCTTGGTTGCTCCATTTCCAGTCCAGCCCCCTACCAATGGCCTGGGAAAAGCTGTGGAACACAACCCAAGTATTTGGGCTCCTGCCACCCACATAGGAGACCCTGATGAAGCTTTTGCATTCTGGCTTCAATCACGGGTTGTGGCCACCTTGGGGAATGAACCAGTGGTTGGCAAGATCTCCCTCTCTCTGTAACTCGGACTTTCAAGTAAATAAATTTTTTTAAAAGAAATTGTTTTAGAAGAGCAGTAAACTTTGTGTCTCCCTTACATTGTAGCCGATTTTTCTACTACATATTAAATTGAAATTGACTCAACCCTCCGTTCATAATGGATCTAAGTCAGTGAGTACAACTCTACTCAGCAGACCTGTTCACCTGTGGTGACATTGAAGAATGAAGTAGCTCGTGTAAGACTAAAGTGTTTCCAAATGTACTCTGAATTTCTTTTTATATGCTTCAAATAATGAAACTGATTTTCCTTGAAAAAAGAATTGACACTGCTAGTATGAATATTTTCAAATTTTTATTATTGAATGTAAGATAAAAATATTTTATATTTAATGGTAGAGAAAGGAAAGAGATCCTTCAGCCACTGTTTCACTCCCCCATACGCACAACAGCCAGGGCTGTGCCAGACCATAGCCAGGATTTTGAAACTCAGTCTCCCACATGGGAGACAGTGACTCAACTACTCCATCCATCACCTGCTGCCATCCAGAGAGTGTATTAGCGGGAAGCAGAAACTCGAAGTGCAGTTGAGCCTGAATCTAGGAACTCCAATATGGATGTGAGCATCATATGCCCATTCCTTTTTTAAAAAATTAAACACTTATTTAACTTAGTTGAAAGGGAGGGAGGGAGGCAGAGAACTGTTCCAATGTAGCATTAGATCAACACAGCTAACATTTCATGAACTCAATTTCTGCTGTATTTCACTATCTAAAGTTATTATCCTAATGTTAATTAAGAGAGCGTATATGTTTCACTTCTGTTGGAATGTCTCACTGTAGCTTACTAACATTCTACTTCAGCATTTCCACATATTTGACAAATTTTAAAACTATTGGCTATCTCCCATTAGCCTGCTAGGTGTTCGGGATAGCTCTTCATATTTTTCTTTACACCCTTCCTTTGTAGCAAGTTTTTGTTTGTTGTTGTTGTTTGACAGGCAGAGTGGACAGTGAGACAGAGAAAGGTCTTCCTTTGCCGTTGGTTCACCCTCCAATGGCCACCGCGGCACACTGCAGCCGGCGCACCGCACTAATCCAAAGGCAGGAGCCAGGTGCTTCTCCTGGTCTCCCATAGGGTGCAGGGCCCAAGCACTTGGGCCATCCTCCACTGCACTCCCTGGCCACAGCAGAGCTGGCCTGGAAGAGGGGCAACCGGGACAGAATCCGGCGCCCTGACCGGGACTAGAACCCTGTGTGCTGGCGCCGCAAGGCGGAGGATTAGCCTACTGAGCCGCAGCGCAGGCCAAGTTTTTGGTATTTATTAACATCTGTATCTTGAGGTGTTCTATGTCAGTTCCATATGGAGAATCTATCACTTCAATTCTCTTTCCAACTTAGGCATCCCACATGGGCTTGTTTGTCCCTTGAAGCAACTGCCTGAACTAAACGTTCCTACTTAACGTTAACATGACTATTTGCATGACATCAACTATCATTTCATAAAATGACTTGTAAAGCAAATAAAGTTCTGAGAACAAAATGAAGAACTGTGTAGAAAATGTGGCAGGCTGTTAGTAGTTTCAAAATTACTAGAACAAAAGGAGAAGAGTTTTGTTTTTTTTTTAATAAAAATCACAAAGTTTGACAACAGGTTAAGAAAAGGTAAATTCCAGACACTGGGAGGTAGTTTGTGGTTTATCTTTTATTTGGTCCTTTGCTGTAAAAAATGCATTTAGGATCAGTTTTTTGTTTGCTACTAAAATGTTACCTGTAATAAATATGCTAGCAGCTTTTATAGTTGGTACTTTAGCAATGAGAAATTTAGTACCACCATACCCAGATTTTCCTCCTGTTTATATGCTGCATATAGCATACAGTGCTATAGATTGAGAAAATAATCTTTTATCTTACAAATGGCTAATATAAATGTCTACAATTGTGAAATGTCTGGGTATTTTAAAAAGTGACTAACAGGTATGAAAGTTTTCTCTGTATTTATGACGTGGACAAGATTTACTCTTGGAATTTAGTATCTGGTGAAGACTAAATTAGAAGTTTTCACATATTTAGTAAATCAATCTCAGATATGTGTTTGTTGATGCTCTTTGGTTTAAGACTTTCACACATCCAAATCTATTTTCAAAGGGTCCTCTTCAATATGAATTTTATAATGATTAGTAAGGGATGACCTCTGGCTAAAGAGTTTCCCACATGCAGTACATTCATAGGGTTTCTCTCCAGTATGAATTCTTTGATGTGCAATAAGGGATGAGCTCTGTCTAAAAGTTTTCTCACATGTGTTACATTTAAAGGGTTTCTCTCCTGTATGAATCCTCTGATGTTGAATAAGAGCTGCACTTTGCCCAAAAGACATCCCACATTCCTCACACCGATACGGTTTTTCTCCAGTATGAATCCTCTGATGATTACTAAGGGATGAGTTACATCTGAATGTCTTCTCACACTCATTACATTTGTAGGGTTTTTCTCCAGTGTGCATTCGCTGATGCTGAATGAGAGCTGAACTCTGTCTGAAGGCTTTACCACACACTTTGCATTTACAAGGTTTTTCTCCAGTATGAATTCTCTCATGAATTATCAGTGTTGAGTGGGAACTTAAGGCTTTACCACATTCATTACAAGTATACAGTTTCTCTCCAGTATGAATTATTCGGTGTCTATTGAGTCGTGAAATAGAAGTGAAGCCTTTTCCACATTCATTACACCTATAGGGTTTTTCTCCAGTGTGGATTCTTTCATGCTGAATAAGAGATGCACTCTGACTGAAGGCTCGCCCACACTCACTACATTTAAAAGGTTTCTCTCCGGTGTGAATTCTCTGATGATAACGAAGGGACGAACTGGACTTAAAAGTGTTGCCACACTCATTACACAAATAGGACTTCTTTCTGAGGTTTCTTTGACATCCAGAAAGAGCTGTGTTACAATTTGATGCCTTCCTACCTGGATTATACTTATGGGGATTTTCTCGAGCATGAATTTTTTGATGTATAAAAAGGCCAGACCTTCTGCTGAAGGATTTACCACATTCTTTACATCTATAGGATTTCTCCACAGTATGGGTTCTTAGGTGCTTAGAAAGGGATGCACTATGGCTGAAGGCTTTCCCACACTCTTTACATATATAAGGTTTCTCTCCAGTATGCGTTCTTTGATGTTGAATAAGAGCAGAACTTTGGCTGAAGGCTTTCAAACATTCTTTACATTTAAATAGTTTCTCTCCGGTGTGATTTTTCAGATGTTTGCGAAGGGATGAATTGTGAATGAAGGCTTTTTCACATTTATTACATTTATAGCGTTTCTCTGCTGTCTTGACTTTTGGTTGGGTAAGTAAACTTGAAGTTTGCTTGAAGGTATTTCGTTGTATTACGTATTTTGAGGATATTTTTTCTCTAGCAATCCTCTGTGCCTTTACAAAGACTGACTTCAGGCTCAAGTTTTGGTCAGGTTCAATGTTTTTATGGCTTCTGTCTACACTGAGGTTTTTCACATGGGAGTCTGAAACTATTTGTAAACATTCATTTTTGTCTTGGGGTTTCTTTAATCTGTCATCATATATACAGTGTTTTCCTGATATGAGGTCCCTGAATTCATCCCCTTTGAGTCTTTTCTTCATCTGTTCCTGACTTGATGAGTCTTGAGCTTGTGTTGACTTTACAGTTTTAAGTCTGCTCTTACATCCTAAAAAAAAACAAAGAAAAAAAAAAAACAAATTGCCAACAATTCATGTGGTTGAATGAGACCAAATGTTTAAAGAGTAAAGATTAATGCTATCTAAACAAAGGTGTGTTATATAGCTAAAAAGATACCAGCAAGAGGAAAAATAGGAAAGTAACATGGCATAGAGTTGTGGATGATGACCGAACTGTAATTAAATGAATACAGCAAGCTCCTTTAAGGAGGGTGGAAGTGTAAGCATGACCAGGAGATGGACCAGAAAAAGTATGAACCAGGAAACTCAGCCTGATATCCAAAGCATATCATGGACTCATAAAACACCTTTTTCCTGTAATTATTTTCTCTGTAGCCTCTTAAGTATTAACTCTTCTGTAAACCTTTTCCTGATTCTGAGCTCTAACATTGCACTCTTCTGACTGCAGCATACAATCCTGTGTCATGTGTGCTCTGTGAAATACACTGTTAGGCAACTTCAGCACTGTGGGAACATCACAGAGTGCATGCATATATTTACATGTTTATATATGTATATATACAGACATATGTGTATGCATATATATCTATATATCCTAAAGCTAGCATTTTATTTAATCAAGAAGCCGTGCAGGTATTTCCACTATGATCAAGAAGAAGGCAAGGGTATCTATTATTTTCCCTACTATCCAATGCTATTCTAGAAGTATTAACAAATTCAATTAGATATTGGACACACCAATTGAGTAAAGCAAAAAGCTGCAAACACTCTAAGTGAAAAATCCCAGATAATCAAACTCATTCACTAAAGTAGCAGGATATGAAATTGACAGATGAAAATCAATACCTTTCACTTATACTAACACAAAATAAGAAAAGTAGAATATGAAAATCTTATATGAATATGAGAACAATTTTATAATATCCTTGAATAACACTAAAGTACTGCTGACCAAATGAGATGACCTCTTCTATTCTTGAACAGAACAATTCAACACCAAAATTGTTGGTGCATACAGGCAGGATAGACATCAGGGTTTCTCAACACGAGCTGACCTTCTGGGTCAGATAATTCCTCATTATGTGGAACTGTCTCGAGAACTGGAAGATGTTTAGCAGCATACGTGGCCTCTCTACCTCCAGGTGGCAGTAGTAACTTCCTCACCATCTCTCCCCACCAAGATGTAACAAGCAAAATGTTTCTAGCCATTGACAAATAATAAAACTGCCCTCAGCAGAGAGCCACTGTTAAAGATGGGGGGAAAAATGATTACAAGTTAGTAACTGCTAAAACTGGGTGACAGATAAGTGGAAGTTCATTATAGTAGTCTTTTAACTTTTACATTGTATGTTTAAACTTTCCCATAAAACTAAAAAAAAAAAAAAAAAAAAAATTCTAATTTCTGTCCTTCCATTGCAACAAGATTGAATGGGTTGATCTTTTTCCTCTAACAGATCATACCTACTGAAAATACTATAATTTTAAAATTCTGATTCCTGTAGCTGAATTTTCTTGGAAAAATCAGTTAACAGAAGATATTTAAAAATTATATTATCTTAAAATATACTTTCTAACTAAAAAAACATCTGCATGATTATCAATTAAATACTTATTGCTTTATTTATAAGGGTTACCCCTAGGGTTACCATTATCCTTTAAAACCCCCTCTTGCTGGTTTGCCGGGCAGAAAGAGCACATTTTGGATTAAGAATCTCTTTCCTCACAATGCCGGCTTTCTGAAATAAACCCTTTCCTCTTACCAACACTCGTGTGTGGTGAACTGGCTATCCAAGCTGGTTATATGTCCGATAACAAAGTCTCAACAGATTCAAGAATGAGTATCACAGCAGGTTACCTTCTTTGACCATAATAGGATGAAGTTAGAAATCAGTAGCAAAGGTAAAACTGGAGAATTCACTAAAAGGAGTATAAGGTAATTCAACAAAGTACCCTAACAACCAGTGAGTCAAAGAGGAAGTTACAAGGAAAATCAGAAAATAGAGAGGAACAAATTTACAAAAACATAAGGATCCAGCAAAAGCAGTGCTAGGAGGGAAATTTACACAGTTAACAGCCTCACTTCATAAGTTATGTAACTAAAAAGAATTAACTAACACAAAGCAGAAATAAAACAGAGAAACAAGTATGAATGTTAGGTAGGAAATTAGAAAATAGCCTATGTGTGTGAGGAGGTGTCTGAGGAAAACAAGTTTCTTGGGAGCGGAATGTAACAGCCTCAGAAGCTCACCTTGGAAGCAGCATAGCATTTTACACTACAAAGTTCTGACAGCCTCACCAAGGAAAGCTCCCCAAAGAAACCTCTCTCCTCAGCACCAAACTGGTTACCTAGCCTGTTAACACTGGGCAATAAAAACCTTCCCATGGCCGGTGCTGCGGCTCAGTAGGCTAATCCTACACCATGCGGCGCTGGCACACCGGGTTCTAGTCCTGGTCGGGGCACTGGATTCCGTCCGGTTGCCCCTCTTCCAGGCCAGCTCTCTGCTGTGGCCCAGGAGTGCAGTGGAGGATGGCCCAAGTGCTTGGGCCCTGCACCCCATGGGAGACCAGGAAAAGCACCTGGCTCCTGCCTTCGGATAGGCACGGTGTGCCGGCCGCAGTGCACCAGCCGCGGCAGCCATTGGAGGGTGAACCAATGGCAAAGGAAAACTGTCCACTCTGTCCAAATAAAAAAAAAAAACCTTCCCAGCTTTCCCCTGGGAAAGCACACCAGAGAAAAGTCCTCTTCCCAGCACCAGGCGGGCTATCCATTCTGATAGCACTGAGTTATGAAGCCTTGGGAGGAATTTTACCTAATTCACACTCAGCAAATCCTTTGTCCAGGGGGAGGAGGAAGGGAAGGAGAACCCACCAGGACCTCATTCCCTTAAAAGCCCCAGTCTGAATAGAAGCTGCATACTCAGCTCTCAGCTCTTTCTGAGCTACCTGCCTGGCCTGTCTGGTATATTCTCTCCATTAAACCATAACCCTGCTTTCCCCAGTCTGAGCACTCTCTCTGATTCTGACTAGATAGGTGTCCATCTGTTCTGATGGATGCCTTACCCAATTAAACCTTGCTACCTTGCTTACCACTGCTCTGTCTCACATCTGAATTCTCTCTGTGCAAAGATAAGAACCTATCCCACCTACCTCCACGAACATCAACATGAATTTATGCTGAGTTGTTTTTTCTTTTTAAAATGCATGTAGTCACCACTTGTTTCCCAACCATCCTACCTATGACTAATTTCAGTCCCTTCAAATGGGCTCTTGATATGATTCATTCACCCTGATAGCTTTCTTCCTCTTCAGTAGGAAGAGATAATCAAGGTTCATCTTGAAAAGGTACTTTCCGGATCTAGAATCAATCATTTCCCCAAGAAGTCCTGGTTCTTTGCAATGGGAAAGAATGTTTAAAAGTACTGCAAATTTGGGAGCTGGAGGTGTTCCTGGCTACTGGGTTTGTTTCAACCTCATTTAGACGATAAAGCCAAGAAACGCTTTTAAGGTGTCCTCCCCCCAACTGTTGTAGGCAAGCATATAGGATAAAATTGATCAGGTTTGTGAGCTGGAAGACCACACCTTCACCACGCACCTGTGTGACCTCATGCCTCTACCTGACCACACCTGTGTACCCACCTGCCAATCAGGCTAATTAACCACTCCCTTTTGGAAGTGGATTAAAGGCCTGAAACACGGTGGGCCTAGCCCTTTTTGCCCCCTTCCCTTTGCCCTTCTTCCTCGCTGCCCTGAATCCCCTTGCTACCCTATGCCTTCGGACCACCCGCTCCATGCCTCCCGGCCTGCATGCTCCTCCACATGGCTGGCTCCTGGTACTCAGTATGAATCCAGACTTCCCTCTCTCTTAGAGCCCTCACTCCTATACATTTCTCTCACTGAAGAAAAAGCTTAAAACTTATCATGCTGCCTTGTTCCTTTATGCCAATATTCAGAATTCTCTGAATTTGTGGCAAGAACCCACAAGGCTTATTAATATTCCAAATTTATTAATAAGCAAGCACCCAGTAACATAACCCTTGTATAGGGACATGAGGAAGCAGCCATGTGGCAGTAACTAAGCCAGCAAGGCCCTTGACCTTGGCCTTCCCAGGCTTTACAACTGTAAGAAAGCAAATTTCTATTGTTCAAGCTGCCCAAAACCAACAACCAAACAAAAAAGAGATACTTTTTAAATGAGACTAAACCCCATTGAGTTCATTGTGGTATTTTCAACTCAAATTTAATATTAAAAGGATTCTGCTTTTCAACTTCTTTCATTTTCTATCCTCTCTTATGTGTTAAAAATTGTATCCTTACTATATTACTCATTTGTTTATCCTACAGGCTATAATTTAAAAACAACCATACCAGTGTTATTGCTAAAAATCATGATGGTTAAAAACAACCTTGAAATTTGTTTGCAATGTTTCTGTCCTTAGGCTACACCCACCAGCACTTTCAGTGGAACTGCTGTGTTTTAAAATCACTAGAAATCATTCTTTTCTGTCTGGCTAAGAAACTAACAAAAAGGTCCTTTTGCTGTGTTTTACTTTCCATTTCTAGGAATTTCTTTTGCTTCTACTTGATTCTGCTTCCTAATCGACCGACGTTTTCATAGTTACAAATTAACAAACTAAGAACCTTCAGAAAAACCTAGACTCTATTCCTGTCCTCTTGTTATAATTGTGTAGTGACCTGGAGTACCTTCTCTACCTTCAAGAGTGAGCCACACTGCTCTGGAGATCCAGGTTCCCCTGAGGAGTTCCCAGAGGTCTGCTACACTGAATCCAACTGTCAGGATCTGTGAGGCCACTAAGCCCTAAACCCAAAACCAGACTGGGAGGAGTCACACAGGTTAACAGGCAGTCAGGTTGATCCCAGTGGAAATGAGGAAATGGGAGTCCCCCTAAGAGGATGCAAAATGCTCGTTTCTCCCCAAAAATTATATGTAACAAGACTGAAGTGCCAAAGCCCACTGCATGCTTCTCCCCATCCCGCCCTTCAGAGTTTCTAGTCTCATCATTGAGAATAAAAGAAGTTCCCTATCCTGCCTGCCTCCAGCTCTGATCAGCAAGCTAGGCAGGGCAAGCAAGATTACAAATCCGACCTTTGGATGGGTTTGGTCCCCACCTTCGGATTGCTAGCTGCTGTCCTGTTTTCCCCAAAAATCATGCTTCAAAACCCCACTTCCGTGAGCCTCTGGGGTCTGCCTCTCTTGGAGTCCCTCTCCTAGCCACTGTGGCAGGAGGTTTCTGACTTAAATAAATCTTGCTTTGCTTTCTACCTTGTCTGCATGGAGGTCATCTTTCTCCAGGCCATTCCCCCCTAACAAGATGAAACTGGGTGCAGATCACCTAAACGCTAATTGGATTTTTATTGCTTGACAAAGCCCTCACCTGGGACACTGAAACTGCTAAGACAATCCATTGTAAACTCTACCAAGGAGCCCTGTACTTCACTAAGTAATTCACTCCTAGTTTTCCTAAAACTGAGGCGAGGCCACAACTCTGACCCTGTCTGTAATCAGGTGTCCTGCATCTCTCAGGACAGCTCTGGACAGCCCATGTCCTCAGTTTAATCTCGTGGACTCACTGTTTTCAGGAGGAGAGACTCACTAAGACAGGGCAAGGGAACAGATCTTTCTTCTCTCCCTCTGACTTTTCACACTCAGGCCACATGGTGCCTCCTCTCAGCTGCCTCCCTGCAGCCCACTTTCTGTTTATCTTGTGTGGCCTCTGGTAGTTTCCACACAATTAGTAGACTTCTCCTAAATGAGAGTTAAAAAAGGCTGACAAGTGTGGTTCACTTACCAAAGCATCTCAACACAGAAATGAGAAGAGCTCTCCCCAGCACACAGGGCAGCTGGCCTCCCAGCCATGGGCTACGGGCTGGTCTCTGCAGAGTGGCTGTCCCGAAGCTGCCTACCAAATTTTGCAACAGGGCCTGGGCTTGGTGGGATGTGGTGCCCGCTGCTCTCTGCTGCTAACTCTCTTCTCCTTCTCCTTGCTCCATTTTGGTCTCCACAGCTGGTTTCCCTTCTCTGGTCCTGCACTTCTGCTAATTCCTAGCCTGGGATAATCCTCTACCTTCTCAGATCCCTGGTCCCACCTCAGGGAAGTCTGTGCAGACATCGCCCCTCCCACTCTGCATTCTCACAGCACCTGTGCCTTTTCCCATGGCTCTCCCCAGCATCTGTCAGTCCACACCCTGTGTGCACATGCTGTATTCACCCTCCACCTCCCCACAGGACTGCAAACTCCTTGAGGACAAGGGCCCCGGCAAGCTCCAGGCTCATTCTGTACTTAGAAAGGGACAGGCAGGCAGTGGCTGAGGGGGTGCCAATCTATCCTCCTGTGCCAAAGCCTCCAATCAATGGCTCTGTGCCCAACTGCCACACCAGGCACCTCTTTCATTCTCATTATTTCCCAGATTTGGTCACAGATTCCTCTTTCCCAAAAACCCTGGGATTCTGTCCTCTGCTGTTGCCCAACCTGATCGCTCAAGGCCTCAAACACCACCGACACACCGAAGGCCCTGACCTCCCTTTTTAGTTCCAATGCTACCTACTGAAACAACTGCCCACAAACAAACAAATCTATCCCTCACCAAACCCTTGCCAAGCTGGCTCCTGCTCTTCTCTGTAAGCCTCACAGAACAAGCCTCCTGGGACTTCCATTACTGCAACAGCGCTATGAGGCTTCTCATTTCTTGCTTCATCTTTAAATCTAGCCCTGCATGCTTCCAAAGTGATCCTTCTTATTAAATTCAATTCACATAAGGACTTCATGAATAAATTCTGTCTGCAAAATATTTAAATATTAAATGTAAACAAAGGGTCGGCGCCGCGGCTCACTAGGCTAATCCTCCGCCTTGCAGCGCTGGCACATTCGGTTCTAGTCCCGGTCGGGGTGCCGGATTCTGTCCCGGTTGCCCCTCTTCTAGGCCAGCTCTCTGCTGTGGCCAGGGAGTGCAGTGGAGGATGGCCCAAGTCCTTGGGCCCTGCACCCCACGGGAGACCAGGAGAAGCACCTGGCTCCTGCCATCGGATCAGCGCGGTGCGCTGGCCACAGCGCGCTGGCCACGGCGGCCATTGGAGGGTGAACCAACGGCAAAAGGAAGACCTTTCTCTCTGTCTCTCTCTCTCTCACTGTCCACTCTGCCTGTCAAAAAATAAATAAATATTTTAAAAAAAAAATAACAAAAAAAAGTTCCCTTTCATCACCCTTCTCAAATGTAACAAGGTTCACTTGCTAAGGAGGGGTCCCCCTCACCTTTCTTTCTGTGTTCACACTCAAAAACACACACCGAATTTTCTTTAAACATAAATGGGGACATAGCTGAACACTTCTCTGTAACTTTCCTCGGTTCTTAACGTGCCTTGTAGTACCATCCACATGAGCACGGTCTTTTGTTTTAACTGTGGTGATAAAGAGGGCATCTCATAGCTTCTTTAGCTATAGTTATTTCAAAGGACATTTAAGTTGCTTCTGGTTCAGATTAAATTTGCTAACATACCAAGGACCATACAATTCTCTTATTGCTTCAATCACTTCTGGTCATACATCAGACAGTTCCAATCTCATTCCTTCCCCCTTTACATACCCTGGGCTTCAGCCAGGACGGATTAACCCAATTCCTTAACTACACTACATCTGTTGAAGGCCCACATGAAAATGCAGCCCTCCTCTGAAACAACAGAACAAGAAACGAGACCCTGAGAGATTCATCTGAGAGTGACTGCCAGACAGTAAGAGGAAGTTCATGTCTAGGAGTCAGGGTGCTCCTTTCCCAGATAGTGGGGGCTGGGAACCCTCAAGGTGGTTTCCCAGCCAACACTCCAAGCTTTGCCTCCTCTTATCAACCAGGCTGTCGCCAGTACCTTGACCTCCCACTCACCTAGAGAGAAGCCTCCAGGACTTTCTTCCTCTATGGGATCTTCTCCTTGCTCCAACAGGGAGATGACATTTGGCTTGGTACATGGGAGTCCTGCTCATAGACAGACAAAACAAAAAACTTGCTCTTATTTTGACACAAAGTAGTATTCCACACATGAGTGGAAGATCTAAAGAATGGTATAAAAACTTATGTGAGGTGTTCAGGTTGTGCCCCCATAATGTGAGGGGCTGTGTCAGGGACTGTGTCATAATTCTATGTTAGGGAAACATAAAGGCAGAGTGGATGAACAGGATACTACTAACTCGCTATAGAAGGAAGTTGGATGCACAGATTGAATTTAAATGTATAAGCTGTATCTATGGGAAGAATTCTGTACCAAGCAGGCTACTTTTTAGTGAGAAAATACTATCCGACTCCCTTTCAGAGATGGAACCTTAGATATTTATCTGGCTGGAGAAGAGACATGGAAAAGGCAAGTGAGGGGGTAGCGAAAGAAGCCTCAGCTCAGGGCTGAGCCAGGGAACCACGAAACAGTAGGAACACTGACTCAACACGAAGGAACGGCAAATGTGAAGCTGCACGCACGGAGGGCGACGACTACTAATAACCACCCTCCCATCTCAGACATGGAGCAATTCAACACCAACAAGGGGGGAGTCAGCACACTCGGCGTGAGCTTGCCGAGTACCCACGGCTTTAGACAGGAAAGGGGGTACCAAGATCCCAATTTCTGAATTCCGTGTCCATGGGGAGCTTCCTTACCCAGTGAGAGCAGGTTGCTGTAGTTCTCCAGCATCACGTCCCGGTACAAGATTCTCTGGGAAGGATCCAGCTTCTTCCACTCATCCCAGGTGAACAGCACGGCCACATCCTCGAACGTCACTGACACCTGGAAGGACAAGCCAAGGACTGGAAGGACAGCTCTCCAGGGACCACGCCGCATACAGAGAGGGAGGCAACAGCGGGGAAGGAGATAGGTCACCCACGAAATGCAGAGATTTAGGCAAGGTTCTAAAGGTTCCAGGTCCTTTTTACCAAGCAAGTAACTGGTAACAAACACACAGAGAGCAGCATAAAGCAGGAACGGGCCTTGTGTAACCACTGTGAGGGATGTGTAGAGGTCGTTGGTGGGACAGTAATCAGGATAACTGTTCTGGGGTGACTTAATAATATGAATAGAAGCCTTAAAATATGTTCTTTAAGTTACCAATTACTATGTTTGTATAACAGTGCACAAAAACACAAGCATAAGGATACTTGTCACGGTATTGTAATGGCAAAAAACTGGAAACAACCTCAATTCTCTCTGATCAGGGACGGGTTAGACAATTGGGGCACCATCCGCATGCTTAGGCAAGCTTGAGGAAAGGAGTAAAAAATTAGAATGTTTTACACGGGCCAGTACTACTCTGAGAGCTGTATTAATCTTTGGTGTAAACTTTAATCTTCACAATGACCTTCAAGGAAGGTACAGGTACTGTTCCCATTTTACCCAAGAGAAAGCAAAGCCACAGGGAGGATGAGACATTTGCCTGAAGTCACAGCTGCTCAGTGGCAGAGCTGGAAAGGCAACCAGGGGAAACCCCTAGGCTCCATTCTCAGTCACTCTGTCAAGTGCCTCTGACTCTTACACACTGGGGTGGGTGTTTGCCATTATGGCGAAGAGGCCAGTGTGGAGTACCTGGTTGGATATCCAGCTCCAATTGTCCCCAGCTGACTCCAGCTTCCTGCTAATCAGACCCCAGAAGGCAATGGTGATAGAGTAGGTGGGTCCCTGCCACTCACATGAAGAGACCTGGACTGAGTTCCTGATTCCTGGCTTTGGCCTGGCCCACCCCTGACCACTGCAGCCATTTGGAGAGTAAACCAGTAGACAGAAGCTCTAGCTCTCAAGTAAATTAAACAAAAACAAAAACAAAAAATACTTCCAGAGGCCGTCACTGTGGCGCAGTAGGTTAAAGCCCCATCCTGTAGCACTGGCATCCCATACGGGCACCAGTTTGATGCCCAGCTGCTCCACTTCCAATCCAGCTACCTGCTCATGTGCCTTAGCAAGGCAGCAGAGGATGGCCCAAATCCTTAGGCACCTGTACCCACATGGGAGACCCAAAAGAAGCTTCTGGCTCCTGGCTTTGGATCAGCTCACCTCCAGCCATTGTGGCCATTTGGGGAGTGAACCAGTGGATGGAAGACCTCTCTTTGTCTCTACCTCTCTCTATAACTTTCAATTTAAAAAAAAAAAAAAACCTTCCATATAGTTAATAAATGAGATAATGCATCTATCCCAAGTCAGATTCATATTAAAGGTTCAAATCTTAGTTATCACTGTATCAGTATAAGGAAATATTATGCAATGCATTACAGTTGTGAGGACAAACTATGTATGCACAATAGAATATTACCCTTAGAGATGCATAAAAAATAACAAACAACAAACAGTGATTGTTCCCAGAATGGTACTGTTAAGGGTAATTTTACTTTCTTTTTTATATATTAAATAAATTAGTTGGGGCCAGCGTTTTGGCACACAAGTTAAGCTTCCTCCTGAAACATCAGCCTCCCACATGAGCACTGATTCAAGTCCTGGCTATTCCACTTCTGATCCAGCTCCCTGCCAATGTGCCTGGGAAAGGAATGGAAGATGGCCCAAGTGCACTGGGCCCCTGCCACCCACATGGGACACCCAAACGGAGTTCCTGGCTCCTGGCTTTAGCCTGGCCCAGACCTGGCTGTTACAGCCATTTGGGGAATGAAGTAGTGGATAGATCTCTGTCTCTCCCTAATTCTGCCTTTTGAATAAGTAAATAAATCTAAAATAAATACACTTATATACAAACATACATATATACAGATCTACACAAGCATACTGAGGTCTTCAAAAAGTTCATGGAAAATGAGTATTGTGAACAAACTATGGATCTCAAATTTTTTTGTACCAAAGTAAGTTTATCTTTAATGATGTATCTCTATGAACTTTCAGAAGTTCCCTGGCCCAGGCATTTGTGTATGTGTACACACACACACACACACACTTTATTTAAAATTTCTACCATGACCTATAATATTTTTATGGCAAGAAACAGCATTAAATTATTTGGATCTTGGGAGAAATACAAGGAATAATCTTTGCCCCGAAGAATTCACAAACTGACAGACTAGAAAAACACATGACATAATCTGAACGATGAGAGAAAGCTGGCCAGCTCAAAGGACAAAATGCCATCTCCTGGCCCCACTCTCTTTCAGAGACAGGAGCAGGAGGCCCAGGGCAGCGAAGGCCCCAGGCAAGCACCTTACCAATGGCAGCGGCACGACCCAAACTCCAGTTTTCTGTGAACCTGCACGCTCTCTGTTCCCTCTGGACTTAAACTTCCCATCACTGAATTTCATATGCAAGCAGACACACCGGCAGCAGGCAAAGTTAAGGATCTTACACGGGGTTGGAGAAGATTCTGGGCAAGAGAGCAACCTGGCTCTGCTGCAGTCAAATCAGGCAGCCTTAAGGGGAAAAGTTCAACCCCACCACATTTGTTAGTCCTGAAGAAAACGCTACCTGGCAAAGGAGCTCTGGAAACAGGTGGCTGGATTTGCCCCTGCCCTGAAACCCATAATCAGGCAGCCTTAAGGGGAAAAGTTCAACCCCACCACATTTGTTAGTCCTGAAAAAAATGCTACCTGGCAGAGGAGCTCTGGAAACAGGTGGCTGGATTTGCCCCTGCCCTGAAACCCATACCAGAGGAGTGGCTGGAAGGCCTGAGTGTGGACTGAGGGCTGGACACACCTGGGACGGAATCCAGGTTAACTGACTTCTTCGGGCTTGTTTCCTCACATGTAAGCAACACAGGAATAGTAATCGCTGTGCTACTGTGAGAGTGAGAAACATAAAGCCCTCAGCACACTCCCAGCATGCTAGATACTCAGCAAATATCAACTGTTCACGCAGGCGTAGTGGCGTAAGCCGCAGTTTGGGTCGCTCACACCCCATATCAAAGTGTCTGCAATCAAGTCTTGCCTCTGCTTCCAATCTAGCTTCCTGCTACTGTGCCTGAGAGCAGGAGACAATGGTCCAGGTTCTTGAGTTCCTGCCACCCACATGGGAGACCAGATGGAGTTTCTGGCTCTGGCCCACCCCCAACTATTATGGGCCCTTGGGAGTCAAACCAGCAAGCTAAAAAAAATCTCTCTCTCTCTCCCCCCTCTCCCTTCCTGTCACTCAATCTTGCAAATAAATAAATAATCTTTAAAAAAATCAACTGTTCTTGTCAAAGATGAGTAGATAAGGGACAAGTATTTTTTGGGTCTTACAAGCACGGTTTAGCAATTTCTGTCCACATCAATATCATCAGCATGGTAATATCACTTAGCTACCACAGCAGCTACACACTGTGCCTGGCCCTGATCAAACACTTCCCATGCACTAACTCACACAATCATCCCATCTATCAGAGAAGGCAGGCATAGTAGTTCCATCTCACAGGTGCAGAAAGTGAGGCACAAGCCGTGAGGCACAAACAGGTGGAGTTATTTGCTCAAGGCCCATGAACAGCAACAGACAAGATAAGTTAAAAGCTGGCCAACTGGCTTCAGATCCCCACTTCCTGATCTTGGAAGTACACCACCTACCCACCACCCATATCCCACAGACCCCTCCCTGTGGCTTCCTGAGGAGTCTTCTACCTGCTGTCAGATTCGGGAGATCCCTCGAGCCCCTGCAATGCCACTATCCTTTGTTCACCATCATTTCACCTGGAAAGGATGCCTCCCTCACTCCCCCAACATGAGAAAGAAAGCTCCAGGTCAAGATAAGTTTTTAAAGTGGTACAAGCAAGGCACACGACCCATGAAGTTAAGAGACAGAGACAACAAAAACTATGGGAGGAAGGCTAGGCTCATAATTCTGAGCTGGAAAGAAAACCCCCCCTGGGACCAGCACAGTGGTGTAGTGGGTTAACCTGCTGCCTGAGGCACCAGCACTCCACGGGTCCAGGCTGCTCCACTTCTGATCCAGCTCCCTGCTAATGGGCCTGGGAAAGCAGAAGATGGCCCAGGTGCTTGGGCCCCACATCCACGTGGGAGACCCAGAAGAAGCTCTTGGGTCCTGGCTTCAGCCTGACCCAGCCCCAGCCCCAGCCATTACAGCCATTTGGGGAGTGAACCAGCAGATGGAAGACCTCCCCCTCCCAACTCTGCCTTTCAAATAAATACATTCTAAAAAAAAATTTTTTTAAAAAAACCCTCTAGACATGAGGGCAGAATCCACCACTCACGGAGGTAGACCAAGTCCTCCAAAGTCAAAGGACTTATGGTCCCAAAACTGGTCGCCTAGGGATAAAAAAAAAATCCCACTCCCCGAGGGCTGAGACGGCAATGGGCTCACCTGAGGCCGCTTCTTCCTCAGCTTGGCGGCCATATCCTCCTTCTGCGCTCGTCCCTGGAGGGCAGGTGCAGGCTCCAGGTGCAGCTGAGAGAAGAGAAAGGGAAGCAGGAGGAAGCCTCTTTTGCTTCCCACCCGTCAAAGGCAGCGGCTCTGAAATTCTTACACAGCCGAGGAAATTGCCGCGGAGAGGAAAGTCAGAAGGAGCCAGGAGTGGACAGAACCAGAGAGGCAGCCAGGGTCGTCCTGGTCCACTTTGCCAGGAGCAACACTCGAGGAGGAGGACCCTGGACTCCACTGCAGCAGCGCCAGCACCGCCTTACACTGCGTAGCCCCATAGACTAGAAGCCCCATTCTACTGATCAAGAGATTGAGGCCAGCGCGCGGCCACGGGCCCAGGTCCCACCGCAGTGAGGGCACCGCCAGGATTCCAAGCACGCGGGCCCTGGGCACCGCCCCCACCTCCCTCCCACCACAGAATCCACTTCCAGACTTGTAGAGAAAACCGTCTGAGAAAAGGAAAACGCGGGTTTTTCCGTGGCGGAAAGGGGGACGGACCCAGAACTAAGGACCCAGGTCCAGCCGTGGCTCGGGCTGTCGGGGACGCAGGCGCCTCCCATTAGCGGCCCCGGGCCAGCGGCCGGAACTGCAGGAGGAAACCCTAGCGCCCAAACCAAAGCGGTCAGGGGCGCCGCGAGACTGCAGGGAGAGGGAGGCGACAGGCCGGGGGCTCCACCCGCGCGCCCAGGCCTCCCCCAGCGTCTCGCGGGCGCCGGCGCCGCAGTCCCCCAGGCCTGGGATCGCCTCCTGCCACTCACCTCCCCAGGCTCAAGGTTCCTGGGGCCGGGCATCCCTAGTATGCTTGCAGAAGGGAGGCTCCCTAACTGCCCCACCCGGCAGCAGCCGCGAGACAGACAACCAACCCGGCGACCTCAGGGCCAGCAGCCGCTCACCTCCCTGCCGCACTGCGCGGCCCTCGCAGGTCTGGACTGGGCGAGCGGGGGACCGCTACTGCCGCTGGGAAATGTAGTCCGCACGAGAACTTAAGGATTCTGGGACGTGTAGTACTCCGCACTAGCCTGTGGTGGCGCCCTGCGTGAGCGGATTACCTGCGATGCTCAGTTGAGCTGGTAGAGGCCTTGGCTTCCTAGTTCCCAGAAAGGAAGGGAGGCTCCTCTAAGGCGGTATCTTTTAACTCCGCACTTTAGTAAATGATGGTGAGGTTACCAGAAAATGGCCAAGAACAAACTTATTTACACTGAGTCTATTTAGCAAGAGGATTGAGCCACCTGCTCAGTGCTAAGCAGTTTGAAATACATCAGTGAAGCCATGTGGGCGCAGGTTCCAGTCCAGGCTGCTCCACTTCGATCCAGCTCCCTGCTGATGGCCTGGGAAAGGGGCAAAGATAGCCCAAGTGTTTGGGCCCCTGCACCTACTTGGGAACCCGGATGAAGCTCCTGGCTCCTGCTTCAGCCACTTGGAGAGTGAACCAGTGGATGGAAGATTTCCCTCTCTGTCTCTCTGTCGCTCTCTCTGTAACTCTGGCTTTCAAATAAATAAAAATACATCAGTGAACAAAAGGATCATTGCACTGAAGAACTATTTTGGGAGAAGGAAGCAGACAATAAGCCAATAATGTAATTATGATGGTGCCTCAAGAAAAGCTTATTGGAAAATGGAATTATTTATAAATTTATTCTGCTACAAAAAATTTTAAGTTATGCATAGTTTTTTCAAAATACATACTTCCCGCAACACTTTTTAATACCTCTCCTATGTATGGATTTTTCACACTAGCAAAGAGCAATCTCAAAGGGAAATTAAGAAAACAACCCCAGGGTGCAGTGAGTTAAACTGCCACCAGCAATGCCAGCATCCCAAACCAGAGGGCTGGTTCCAGTCCTGCCTGTTCTGCTTCTGAACCAGCTCCTTGCTAACGTGCCTGGGAAAGCAGTGGACGATGGCCCCTGCCACCAATGTGGGAGACGTAGCTGGAACTTGGACTCTGGGCATCAGCCCCCACCAGTTCCAGCCATTGCAGCTATTTGGGGAGTGAACCACTGGATGAAAGATACATCTCTCTCTCTCTCTCTCTCTCTCTCTCAGATAAATAAATAAATCTTTTTAAAAATAAAAAGTAAATTAAATACTTTTTAAAATTAAAAAAGAAAACAATTTAATTTATAATAGCACAGAAACAAAAAACAAACTTAGAGATAAATTTAACAAAGGAGGTGGAAGATTTGTTTACTGAAAACACCAAAACGTTGTTAACGAAAATGAAGAAGACCTATACAACTGGAAAGCAATCCAATTTTCATGTTGCTTTAATATTGTTAAAATGCCAAAACTGCCCAAAGCTATTTACTGATGCAATGTAATTCTTATCAAAATGCCAATGGTATTTTTGCAGGAAATAAAAAATCCTAAAATTCATTTCAAAGGAATTTCAATGGACTGTAAATAGGCAAAACAATTGAAAAAGAAGAATTAAATTGAAAGATTCACATTTCCTGGTTCTGAAACTTACTACAAAGTTACTTTAATCAAAACAATGAGGTACTGACATAAAGATGAAAATATAAGCAAATGGAATAGAATAAAGAATGCAGAAGTAGCCTCCCTGCCAATGGCCTGGGAAAAGCAGCCGAAGATGGCCCAAGTGCTTGGGCTCCTGTGTCCATGTGGGAGATCTGGAAGATGCTCCTGTCTCCCTCCTACCTTCAGCTTGGCCCAGCCCTGGCTGTTATGGCCATTTGGGGAGTGAACCAGCAGATAGAAGATCCACCGATCTCTCTCTCTCCCTCTCTCCTTCCCTCCCTCTCTGTAATTCACTTTCCAATAAATAAATAAATATTTAAAAGGAGGAGGAGGAGAAGGAGCAGCAGCAACCTAGACTAGAACTGTGCCCATGTGGGATGCTGGCATGGCAGGTGGCAGCTTTACCTACCACGCCACAACACCCACCCCTGGGCAATGGCTTTTCAAGTGTGGTACCAAAAATCAGGTAACAAAGGGAAAAGGTAAATTGGAATGCCAGAAAGTCAAAAGCTTCTGTGTAACAATGAACGCTACCAGGAGAGAAAAATCCACAAAATGAGAGAAGATATTTGTTCAAGAAAGGATTAATATCCAGAATATATTAAAACTCTTGTAACTGTACAACAACAAAAACACAAAAAACTCAATTTAACAATAGGTGAGGGGGGTGGGTGTTACCACTTGGGATGCCTGCATCCCATATTGAGTATTGGTTCTTGTCCCAGCTGCTCAGTTGCTGATCCAGCTCCCTGCTAATGTGCCTGGGAAGGAGTGGATGATGGCTCAAGTACTTGAGTTCGTGTCACCCATGAGGGAGATGTGGATGGAGTTCCAGGCTCCTGGCTTCATCCTGGCCCAGGCCTGGCTGTTGTGGGCATTTGGGGAATGAACCAGATAGAAGATAGAAGATGCCCTCTGTCACTCTGCCCTTCAAATAAATAAGTAAATAACTAAAGAAATGTTTTAAGCATAGGTGAAAGAATAAACATTGCTTATGTTGAATAAACACTTCTCCAAAAAGAGGCACTAATGGCCAACAAATGCTTGAAAGATGTTGAGCATTAGTCATTAGAGAAATGGAACATCAAAACCACAATAGGATACCACTTCACACCTATTAGAATGGCTATTACAAAACAACATAACAACACTTTTTGTTAAGGATGTTGAGAAACTGGAACACTTGCACATTGCTAGGTGGAATATAAAATGGTGTCATCACGATGAAAAACATTTTGATCACTCCACAAAATGTGAAAACTACACTGCGATCCAGCAATTCCCCTCAGAGATATATACTCCAAAGAACTGAAAGGAGGCTCATACAGATACTGATATGTCAACGTTCATAGCAGCACTATCAGCAATAGCCAAAAAGGTGAAAACAGCCTAAGTGTCCACCACCAAGTGAGTCATCAAACAAGATGGTATGTGCATAAAATATTTTCAGACCAAAAATGAATGAGTCATGATGAGCCTTGCAACCAGTATATTAACTGGAATCAACCAGACACAGAGGAGAAAATTAGTGTGTGATTCTAGTTATGTGAAGTATCTAGAATAGGCAAATTCATGGAGTCAGGAAGTAGAATAAAGGGACAGGGAGGTTTTGTTTAATAGATATAAAATTTTGGTCTGGGGTGATGAAAATTTTTCTGGAAATAGGTAGTGGTGGTGATTGCCCAAATTGTGTATATATTTAATGTCACTAATTTGTACACACTTAAAAATAGTTAAAATGGTGAATTTTATATTATGCTAATTACCACAATAAAAAATAAAAAAGATTAATTAACTTGAAAGGCTAAGTATCTGCTGGTTCACTCCCCAAAGGCCCACAATGGCCAGGACTGGGCCAGGGCCAAAGCTGGGAGCTGGGAGCTCAATCCAGGTCTTCCATAGGGGCAGCAGGATCCCAATCACTTGAATATTATTTTTAAAGCATTTATTGGTCTACAAAAAAAAGTATTTATTGGGCCAATGTTGTATCATAATGGGTTAAGCTATGGCCTGCAATGCCATCATCACATATGGGTGCCAGTTTGAGTCCCGCTTGCTTCACTTCCCATCCAGCTCACTGCTATGCCTAGGAAAGCAGCAGAACAAGGCTCAAGTCCTGGGGCTCTGTAACCTGGCTCCTGGTTTCAGACTGGCCCAAACCCAACTGTGGCGGCCATTTGGGAAGTGAACCAGCAGATGGAAGAGTTTCTCATCTCTCGCTCTTGCTGTCTGTTAATGCTGACTTTCGAATAAATAAAATTTTTAAAAAGTATTTCTTGGCTGGCAACACGGCTCACTTGGCTAATCCTCTGCCTGTGGCACCAGCACCCCGGGTTCTAGTCCCGGTTGGGGCGCTGGTTTTAGTCCCGGTTGCTCCTCTTCCAGTCCAGCTCTCTGCTGTAGCCCGGGAGAGCAGTGGAGGATGGCCCAAGTCCTTGGGCCCTGCACCTGTACTGGAGACCAGGAGGATGCTCCTGGCTCCTGGCTTCAGATCAGCACAGCTCCAGCCATTGTAGCCAATTAGGGAGTGAACCATCAGATGGAAGACCTTTCTCTCTGTCTGTCTCTCTCTCTCTGAAAAAATACTTTTTTTTTTTTTTGACATGCAGAGTTAGACAGAGAGAGATACAGAGAGAAAGGTCTTCCTTTTATGTTGGTTCACCCCCCAAATGGCCGCTACGGCCAGTGCGCTGTGCTGATCCGAAGCCAGGAACCAGGTGCGTCCCCCTGGTCTCCTATGCAGGTGCAGGGACCAAGCACTTGAGCCATTCTCCACTGCCCTCCCGGGCCACAGCAGAGAGCGGGACTGGAAGAGGAGCAACCGGGACAGAATCCGGTGCCCCGACCAGGACTAGAACCCAGTGTGCAGGCACCACAGGCGGAGGATTAGCCTAGTGAGCCATGGCACCGGCCTTAATGAATCTTTCGTACCTGTTGCAGTCTTTTTGATCTTCAGACTAATAAGTGGGTATAGTTCTGAATGAATGAAGTAGAGTACGAGGCAGTATGAATAAATTGTTTCTTTGAAAATCATGGTGCCATAGTTAGATGACTCAGAAGCTTGATAAAATGCCTGCACTTTTCTATCAGACAAACCTGACCCACATTGGATTTTTCCAAATTCCAAAGACAGATGAATAGAAAAAAAAAAAAAAAAAAACCACAGGATAGTCTTGGAAAAGTTGGCAGGAAGAGAACCATCAAAACATCATTAACAGAATTTGCATAGTCAAAATCATCAGTCTTCTGTCCAGCTGTTTCTTGAACCTGTCAAAAGCTTTCCCTTTGTTTTTGTACCATGATTATTGTGTATATTTTTGTCATTAACCGGTTCATTGACATTAACTAACATTGAAGTAGAACTACAACACATCTGTAGATTTATTTGGATATATTAAGAGGATGATACATATAATCACCGAG